AAGCTCAAGAGGGCTTTGCCGCTCTCCAGAAATGAGAGATCCCAAGCGCTTAAATATTTAGCAGCACGCGGCTTTTCTTGCGGCTTCATCAGAAATTCATTGCAACGCGTTGAAAAGGCAGTAATGAACAACAAGACTCGTCTAGAGAGTTCACCGGAGCCTGCTCCTTCGAGATATCTTCTTCTTCTTCTTTTTTTCAGTTGAATAGTGTTTTTTTATATTTGATGGTACCACATACATCCGCCGGGTTTTTGTTTTGTGACCGGATGTTTCCATATAAGTATGCGTCCGTCGCTGGAAACGAGAAAACTAGTTTTGCCGTAGCATTAGCGGCCTCGTTTAGTCAGGCGTCACAAAATGCGATTCCAACTTCTTGTTTGGTGTTCTACCGGATTTTTTATGCTAACGTTATTATCTTACCCCCGTAATTCGTATTTTTTTGTTCCTTTCGAAATCGAGCGCGATTCTGCGAGACGCCATGCAACGTTTTTATTTTGGTTTTTGAGGCGGGACTTTGGTCAACCCAAACTAATAATGTGGAGAAGTTTTGGGTGTAGAAGAAACAACGAGTGTGCTCTGTAAACAAATAACCGAGACCCATGCAGATCTTTACGACTTACTGATGTCAATTTACAAGGAACTTGAATATATAATTGAGGAAAACTTCGTCCATTGAACATTTAAACACGTTGAATAATTAGGCACGTTGAATGTCCTCTCTTGATTTAACCTTTCGTCTCTTTGAATATACAAACTCGCTGGGCGTGTTATTTGGCCTGACGTAAAATTTATATGCTACAAAGACAGCGTTGTTGAGTACGCTCCCTCGCATGTCACTCTCGAGAGGTAAATTAAAGAAAGAAATTGCTCAGTAATCAGAAGAGCAAGTCGGTGTGTCACATTTCGGGAAAAAATTGTAGCAAGAAAAGATTGAGAAATGCAAAAGGTTGGGGAACGAAAGGTTTGTTGTCATCTATAATACCACATTTCATGGCAGGATAAACTATAATAAAAAAAGCATTATTAATACCAAAACCAAAGCAAATTACTCATCTACCGGTACCCACAGGTATACCAATCATTCATGCTGTCGCACTACAATAGCTGACACACCATAAGGGTAAATATTCTAATACTATCAGATAAAGCGAAAATGCATGCCAAGCCCTCGGATCACATATTAAAAAAACAAACTGGGCTGGAAATATCCATTGCAGTACCATGCTATAATATTTTTCGATGGTTTGAATATGTCATGACAAACACATACAAGTCACAACGTCCCTGGTGTGCGCAAAAGCCGTGAACATCTCTAGAGCGCATACAAATCACAGCGCCGCAGCTCAGAGCATGTGAAGCGAAAGCCTTCGCCGAAGAACCCAGGAATCTCGGGTTTAATCCCCCCTCCCTTCCCTTCTCGTTTCTATCTAAATGAGCACCGTACCGGAGTGCGTTTACGTATCGCTATTGCGTGATGCACGTTAAGGACTCCAATCTAGCGATGGTACTGCACTGTCAAGATTTCTTGTCTACCGAGTAAACCAATATCGCCACACCTCAAAGGCAAACCGACCTTTCTAAACACAAATGACTAATTTGCTTTCGCTTATGTTGAGATGAAAAAAAGAAAATAGACACTTAATAGGTGTACTGACTTTTTTGTGTGTGATGCACGCAAAGTTTTATATTTGTGAATATGTGCATGGAGAGCATGTGGAATCAATATTCATAAAATCAAATGATCAAAAACCTTATTTTTTGGACATCAAGTTATAATAAAAAGCGCGGGATCAAAAACTGAGTACGGATCTGTGCCCTAACTTAACGTTTGCTCGTTTTGTTTTGTGAGAACCTACTAGTAGTTGATGCATTGTTCCATGGTGTTCGTCGCTTTCTTTTGCTTAAAAATAAAGGTCAGGTACTTACTACCGTTGAAGATGTTGCCTAAACCTGTGTATTTGTTTTGAACGCACAATTTCTTCATTTTAACTGGCCATGCATCTATGTATATATCCAATCAAAACTACCAGCGCAGGCAACGACCTTAGGAAAGTCATATAAAACTCAAAGGGGTCCATTAGCGCCTGGACTACCACAACCGGCCCACCTGTCCACATTCGCATAACAGAAAGGTTGAACTTCTAAATATTCTAAATAAAGCCCAATAGCTATTTAGAAATTCAATACAGTGAGGATTACTATGTGATGTTATTTTATTGCTCTACATTTGTTTTTCCAGGCCAACAAAAGGCAGAGCTCCTTATACACATACAGGCTGTATTTTTAGCGGGCCATTTTGATCGCAGCACATGCTCAGCAGCCTACAGCTACAAAAAAATAAGGTTCGATGTATAGCACTTTGCTGGTTTTCAGTCTCAGTAGACACAAATGTAATGCTTACATTAACTCGACAGTACCCGGTTGAGCTTGGTCGATCAGACAGTGAACCGTTGGGTAACCTGGGCCCGCCTGCTTCACAGGGGCCTCCTTTACCCAATTCTGTATTTGTCTGTTGAAGACGATGTGCTTATTTTATATTCTGGGCTAACTTGGGCAGGATGGCCCTGGAACTAGAAGCTTGAAAAAACCATGAGGGGTTTATTTCTTCGTATATGAGTAGGGTACCACCCTTGCAAGTAAGATGTTGAGACTCGATGAACTCTTTGTCTTAAGGGGCATTTTACCGAGCTTGTGTATTTGGGAATATTGCACTCCTCGGTCCTCTTGGTTACATTTTCTTCCGTTTTGGATGTTCTGAGTAGTTAGATCCTCCATTCCATTGAGTATTGAAACTCGCTCAATGTTTTGACACATTTACACCTTCCGTATAGTTGGATGTTCAAACTAGAACAACATTCAGTCGCAATTGGACCTTTCTTCTCGTTAAATTGTTCGTTCGGCGGAATATTCCAACGTCTCGAACATTTCGACCCGATTGATTATTCCATCTCGTTGGATATTCCAGTTTGATAGGCATTCTTTCCAAAATGTTTTTTTTATATATATATTACCCGCTAAAATTTGAGACATTGGAATATTCCGCCGAACGAACAATTTAACGAGAAGGAAGGTCGAATTGCGACTGAATCTTGTTCTAGTTTAAATTTGAATTTACGTGAGAGCCATTCTCACGTAACCCACGGGATATTCAACCTCGTTGGATATATAGGACACAGGCCATGTCAATTGACGTCTATTGGTCAAAAATAATTACAATTAGTTTCAAGCTTTCATACGGTTAAGAGTATACAATTTATCGCGTCGTGCTCCCTGATGTTATGAACGCAAGAATCAGCCATGGGGCCCTGACGAGCAGGAACAACCTCCTGGTTCACTCCAGCAACCCAATATAACCCGATCTCAGGCCGCATGGCAAGAGATGAGTACGATACACTTTCGTCAAGTCACACCTAAGCGCGACACTGCAGCGCGACTAGAGGGATGACGTGAAAGAAAGCACTGCCAAAGTGAGCGCACGAGCCAAACGGAACTCAAGCCGCGTCTCAAGACGCTCGCACGCCCCAGCCTTTGCAATGCATCTTTCACCCGGTCTCAGCTGAGACGCTCTTTTGTGTATACCACGTATCGCGGTATACATACACGATTGATACCACTACAGCTATACTACCAACAGCGGTATTTTTCACTAGCTCACATTTCCTTTAAACTGATTTTTAAAAAAAAAGTTAATATAAGTGAACCTCTGAAAATGATTGAAATAAGGACGCGCGAAAGCCATATTTTAATATCACAACTTTGTCTGAATATTTTATTTTATTTTTCTTGAAACGTCACATTATAGATAACAAATCTCATCAGTTTGAGCAACCACCAATGCGCACTATAGAGTACAAGAGTTTAGAAAAATGTGTTCCTTTGCTTTGAAGCATTTTCATTACCTGATAAAGATAATGGAATGTTGATCAGTCATTCACAAATAATAACCCTATTGATAGCTCCCCACACAAGCTGGACGATGAAACTTGTTTCGATTTTTTCATCACAAGACATGCGAGGATGACAGGGAACATTCATGTCGCCTCTTCGTAAATGCGTGGTCATAAAATAACCAGCTACTTAAATTTCTCAGCCAAGCGAGACGAGTGCGTCCATATTATAAATAATTATGCAAACTACGTATGACTGGATAACAACCAAAGGTATAAAAATTGCAGTTTCTTGCTGTGTCATGCGAACAAACAGCAGCGATAGACCAGGCAATACACACATACTGCACACACAGTCTCACTGCACTCTAACCACGGCGTCACGTCACGTCACACAGTGTCACGTGACGTCATAACAGTATCACGTTTCGGGACATCACGATGCCACGTCACGCTGTCTCGTGACGCCCCAGATTCACGGGACATCATAACGTGACGTCATAGTGTCCCGTCATGATGTCATGTGACTCCAGGTGACACCATTACGTTCCGCTAATTTTCAGCAATACAATTTTCCACGCTGAGTTTCTGCAGATATCATCCGTTAAATTCGACGAGTAAACTTTTCTGCCCGGACGACCGAACAGAAAAGACACTCGGAAATCCGCTACGAAATTTCGCCAATGACGGCTGTCATCGTGAAACTTGTTTCCACATGTAGGTAGTCGACGGGGGAGCAACAAGCTCGCGTCTTCGATTACCAGTTGAGTTCCGCTCTTCTTTTATTCTTATTTTTGCCCCACAACCTATCTACGTAGCCGACAAGAGAATCGTTATGCGGAGGGAGCACACATCCGCTGTCCGGGCTAATAAATGCGCGGAGCGATACATACACCGACCATTAGCGAGTTTACCATCGACGCCGCGCGGGCGACCGGGTCCGGATCCCGACCGCACCGCGGCGCCACGAGCGCCCGTCAGGAGTGGGTGGGCGGGCCCTCCGACTTTCGCGCATGCGCGCCACACTGCGAGCGAACGCAAAAAAAAAAAAAAAAAAAAAAAAAAACCAGCCGTAAACTCGCAGACAAGAGAAAAGAAAGAAAGCGCGACCACGCGGCCCACGAGCGAAGTTGGTTCGGAGCGCGAAGACTTCAGCCTCTCTCTTCGAACAGAACGGTGCGCGTGGTTCCTCGAGCTAGTTCGGTCGCACGCGAGGAGTTTGCGCGTCGTACGAAAGCGCGAATTGTGAGCGATTGTGTAGAGTTTGTGATTTCGGAAGAGGGGAGAGATCTTTGTTCGGATTTGTTTTGTTTTTTTGGTGGACGTGCTGCGGGAAAGGAGGCAAGGAAGACATTCGTTGCCGTGGGAAAATCGTTGCGGAGAGTAGGGGTGAGGACTACGAGCCACAAACTTTCCGTTCTTCGGAGATGAGAGCACCCGTCGTGTCTGTGGTGCTGGTGACCGTGGCTGCTCTACTCATCGTCTTTGCTCAAGGTGAGCCGATTTCTGGGCTGAGTCACGCTTTGACGCGTGATCGAGTGACTTCGTCCATTTCTAGCTTCAAATCCGCTCGGTTGTTTCAGTTCATTAGTCTAGGAGTCGAAGTAAAACAGAAAAGTTATATTTATAACAAATATGTTAATTATCGTCGTAATTTTCACACATTTTTAAAGGCACTTGAAAAACAATCTTCTCGCTTTCCCTTTAGCCTTGTACACTTCCAGGTACAAAACGAAAAGCCGAAACAAAAATCTTTTGATTTTTCTTTGTGCTTCTCTAGATCATAATGCAATTAAACGCAACAACATTTTTTTTAAAAAAAAGGTACGTTTTGCAGCAGTTTACATATGAGCACATTATTTTCAATAATTTTCTGCAGAACACTAATTTTACATTTTCGGTATTTATTTTGTATTTTTATATTTATTTTTCACTCACAAATACGTATGCTCCTCAGCAAAAAAGAAGTCTTGATTCAGATTAATATAATAACGAAATTCATAATCAATCAATGCAAACGCGCGCAAAAAAAAAAAAGCTTAAAATATAAAACGTTTCTAGGTAATCCCAAGACAATTTAATAACACAACACCAGGGCTGAGCAGTATTGCGATAAAAATGTATCGCGACAGTATCTTAGAGATACTTTGAAGTACCTGTATTTCTGTATCGTGATACATTTGAAAAATGTATTTGTATTTCAGTAGTGAAATACATTCACAATGTATCGCTTGTATCGCGATACTTCGCCAGACTTAGGTATCTCGTTACATTTGTTGCCCTTTTTAAGATAAATTTAAAGGATAAAAACATGTTTAGTGCAAAGTGCTTCGGAATTTATAACATGAACCCGCCCGATAACATAATCTAACTCAGTCACCGACATAATAGAAAAACTACGGTTTAAAGTTACACTCGCAAAGTCCTCCACTGTTCCCAATTTAGCAGAGCGAACGCTGTAAAGGAGTTGAGTGGAGAAAAAGTACGACCCTGTTGTTCATTCTCCCCACACCATGGGTTACTCCGAAGCATATAAGACGACAATTTGAGATGCACCCTCACGGCAAAATAGGGCTTATTTCGATGAGACGCCTTTTGTCAAGCATGACACACAGCCTTTACCGTTCTGTAACTATGTGGTTCAACGGGGGTAACATGTTTTTTTAGCGGCATTAATCATAAATAAAGAGTTTGAGGCAAGGGGTAGTGCATAAATTGGCACAAAGAAAGGAGAACAAGCATAAATTACCATTCGCATTCGCCACAAACTACACCCTCCTCGCGTAGCACCATTTGGGAACAAATGTATTTCTATAAGTATCTGTATTCCGGAATACTTTATCGCCGTTTCTGCTGAAGTATCACAGGGATATCCCTTTGCGTAAAAGACAAATGTATCTCAATATCGGTATTTGAGCCTTAAAACACATGTATGTCAGTATTTGCATTCACGAATACTTTTTGGAGTATCTCTGCCCATTCCTGCACAACACGCAGATAATTTCCAAACAACACTTTTTTGCGTGAAAAACATAATGTTTTCAGTCGCATGACCCGAAAGCTTCAAAGATAAATACGAACTATTACAAAATTGGAGTCCCTACATCCTCATTCAAATTGTCAGCCGAACTTTTTTCGTCAGTGTGCTTCACTGTGCCGTAAATTATGCTCTACGAACAGCTTTTTCGAAATACTAAATTTTTATTCGATGACATACTGCACGCCAGATGAGGTTTCTTGTGTTAAACAAAAATCAAACTTCGCAAAATATTTTATGTTCACAAAAATGAAGCCACATATTTAGTGAAGCTAGAGACGTACGACCTTTGTTCGCTGAACTTTAACAGAATGTTAATCACAAAAAGAGATTTTTTTCTGTTTCACCTCCCTTACATCTATGAAGCAATGTGTAAATGAAACGTCATGTTTTCCTCAAGAAGCCGGGATCAAAATACACAAGACCCTTGCAATTGTTTTAAAATACAATTTTTCAAAGCCGGTGACATTTCCTTTCAATTTTGCGTGTTTTCGTTCTGCCAAGTACCAACCTCCTTCTTGAAATATTAATTTAAAATTGATCTCTTTACCATATCCTTAGTAATTAGTCTAAAAACTGGAACATTACTAGCGAGACGGATACATGTTCACCTGTTTTTTTCCCCAAACACTATGTATGGGAAAGCTTCACCTTTGTTATATTTTACGTAAATTAGATACATCGAGAAAATTTTTGTCTTCAACAAATTGGAAATTGCATCGGGTTTCATGAGTACTAGCGAGAATGCCCTTACATTTTAAACGTTACTCAACTATTATTAGATGTGTGTGCGTGTACGTGTGCTTGAGCGTGTGTGTGTGCGTGTGTGTGGTAAGCAACCGACACATATCTAAGGAGATAAACAAAATGAACAGGCACGCGTGTCCTAATTTAGTACAAGTGAAAATATTTTTCTCGGCAGTCTCAAATCCTCTCCCGTATATCACTTTAGAATTTATACACCTTTAGAATGTATACTAGGAATGGCAGGGTTATCAAATGGGCTTCACCAAACGTCAGAAGCTTCCAAGGAGTCTCTTTTTATACTCATTTTGTTGTCTTTTCGCTTAGCGGAAGAACGTGAACTTTGATTTGTTTAGTGCGATTATTCACTCTATTAAAAAGATGCGACTGCAGTGCATGCACCCCGCTTTCCGAAACATTGCCGGAGTAATATACGCTAAATAGACCAATGAATAGTTTCAAAATAACTGTATATTTTATTCTAGAAAAATTAAAATTACGAATATACATCGTCATATTTTTGTGATTATGTAAAATATATTAAAGGCTGTGAGTTCACTTCTCACGATGCTGTGTCTCGTTATACGACTTGCTGGTTGTTAATATAAAAAAAAGATGCTGTGAAATTGTTCAATTTCATTTACTTGAAAGGGTTTGATATTTTGATTGAGAAGGAATACCAATTTTTGCCCACAACCCGGTAAAGTTGTTTAATATAAATAGTGAACAATTCTGAAGTTTTGGGTCGGAAACACAATTCACACTCGTGTCTTCAATCTAAAAGCTTTTCTATAGCGCGTCTCGCGCATCGTAGACACTTTCGACAATGTTCTACAAATTTAATTTTGTTTGCTGTCAAAATTCACACACCGTTCCAGTTCTTTGTAAAAAATTTTTTTTTTCTTTAACTTCTATAATCCCCTTCGCTGCGCCGGTATTAACAATATTCTGAATACCCGGTTGCAAAAGATGTGGATGATATCCTGACTTCAATTGAGCATGTCCTCATCCGGCTTGAACCATTTTTTTAAACTAAGCGCTTGGTGCTCAAGGTTCTGGGAGGCTTCCTACTTGCCCTCAAAATACTACTAGATATTCGGCAACCATGGTTTCTACACCAGCTACCAAACAGCCACCCAGTGTCTGTTTGTCGCATTGGTTGTCCAAGCTACGGCTCGATACGCAACTACTAATTAGGCTAAATACCACCAGTCACACTACTCACCTGCCCTATTGTTTCAGTCGCAGCGAACACAGCAGAAGCATATGACTATGACGGTCTTGGACTTACTTAGTCGGATATGTTTAGCCAAGCATAAAACATTGCATAAACTGGCTTCGTAAATGTGGCTTCCCCACACTAGGATAACAACCGCCGTGAAGCACGCTCTACAGGCGTCTTGTATCCCTAAGGACGCCTTTAAAGCAATCTTCTCCCCAATATTACTCTTAGTGCGGGGAACCTAAGACCACGAAAAGAGCTTAAGACCGGAAAACAAAATTTAGTTAGAGCTCTTCATTTCTTTTTATCGCACTATCTTAACGTCTAAAGAACGCGTTGTGTAATAAGCACAAGTACAATTTTATTTTATCTTGCAGCGTTGCGACGTTCTTTTCCCGTGTCTTTCTTCTTCGACACCGTTTCCCTGCTTTTACCTTAGTCTCGGGTTTTCTACATCATGATCAGCATTTAGATGTATATTTACTGGGAGCACGACATACATGCTGAGCATCGTGCTTAGATATAACTGAGTTTTTAAGTAATAATTTGAAATCGATAATTCATAAAATGATTAATTTTAGGTTGTCAGCAAGTAGACGAAGCTTCATTGTTTATTTTTTTATATATTGGTAAAAATATAATAACATTCATAACAAATGTTTTCCCCTTGTAGTGCGCGTCGGCACTATGCTCCTTAGAACAAGGGAAATACATTTAGCTATCGAAGCCTACATGGCATATTCTACTAAACTGGACAACAGACCCTTTCAAATGTTAATAAAGTAACGTTGCTTGGACACGAAGCGCGTGACTGGATCCGTGTCCTCGCCGAATGCTGACGTCCACACTCGGGTCCAATACTTGTTCAGAGTACGTAATCAAGCAATGGAGAACTAGCGTTAGCGCGAAATTTTAAAAGGGTTTATTCTAAATGATCAAATAACAAAAATATTAAGCTTTTATTTTATGGGTAATTTTGAACTCATTTTTGTTCCAGGGGCATCATTAACACGAATACTATAAGAAATTTCAATTTCTAATATTCTACTTTAACAGCTTTAATGACCAATCCAATATAAAAAAACACATCACATTCACAAGTATAGTTTTCTTCGAGTGACTAATGTTTTAACTACAAAGATTATGATTACTTGTACCTTATTAGAATACGTTTGTTAGAATACGTGATATATCATAGCCTCCTTTATACTCACAAAGCCTGGCAGTTCGACAACTAAGCCATAGAGCGCCCGGTCGCTGATTTGGAGCGCGAAGATCTGGTAGCACAGAGCATTTCTCGGGGAAGCTGGTAGCGAGCGCACAGCTTTTGCAGCGGCGAAGACGCACGAGAAACGCGAGGAGTATGAGCGGACATTCCATGGCTTGGGAGAAGAGCGTTTCAGCGTCTCGCCACAGCGGGGCGCCCGTTACATGACTCTCCTCTCATCCGTTCTCTGCCGCTCTACCTTTTCACTTTCGGCGGCCTCGTCT